AATAGATAAGCCATTTAATTGGCCGTCTAAAGCTTACCCAAAAGGGACCCCAAATATAGTTACAGTCTAACATGGCCCAAACATTTGTAAAATAAAAAAGGTATAAGCAACTGCAAGTCTTGAAAGGGTCCAGAACGAAACCATTCTTAATGACAGATCTATGTGAATCCTTATAACCACTATTAAGTTTTTAGAAAATTCTATTGCTTCCCCCCTTAGATATTCAAAATGTCAAATGTATAAGTATTTCACTAAGCGTACTTAAAAAAAATTAATAACTTGATAGCCACTAATCAAATGAGGGATGCAATCACATAAATAAGTATTGCTCTTACTGACAAAGTCACTTGTTTAGCTGAATTACAAAACAAGTAAAATTGTTACAAAATTACATAAGAAATGTGACTTGTATCAAAAGTGGTGAATTGACTCATTTTCAATTTTATTATGATATCATGAAATTATTTTTTGTGGGGATAATATATTTATTATCATTATGTTATATTATAAGAAAGAAAACAGTAGGATGGTGATATTGTCACAAACTAATTTTTATAACAATACAATTTTTGGGTTTTATGATGGTATTGTATAAAAATTAATTTTGGTAGCAACAGTGGCGCATTTACACTGGGAGCAATGGGGCAATTGGCCCCAGTTCAATTTTGAAATTTGTTTGGGTAGTTTTGAAATGTTTATAAATTTATAATTTTTAAAAATTTTCCACCATTAAAAATTTGTATAAATTTATGGCTATTTCTATATTTCAATAATACTTTTTAGTCTAAATAACTAAACTAATTTACAGACCTAATAATGTGCTAAATTGTGTGGTCTCAAAAAATAAATCCAAGAGCTATAATTAGAATAATACTATTTTAGCATCTCCACTATCGCGTCATTGGGTTAGCAATTTAGGATAGATTTTTAGACCACAATAACATTATTCCTTATTAGTGCAAAGTTGGATTATGTTAAAATCATATTTGTAATTGACTAATTTCGTGGAGTCCATTGTAAAATCTCAACTTATATTCCATGATCATGATGCTATCAAATTCAAGATCCGAAAAGTATCATCGCAGAGAGGAGATCAAGCGTCAAAGGCATATCATTAAGCCTATGTATGCACCTCCATGCATAGGACAAAGGTAATGATCTACACACCTAAGATGAACCCTTAGTTAATTTTAACTTGGGTTGATTAGGATGAAAATAGAATTGAAAACGATCTGATTACGACTCCTAAGTAATTTTAAAAGAAAAATTTTTCTAAACTATTTATAAGTTTTGAAAACATAGTTTGAGTCATTGATGAGCACATAATATTGCATATTTAACGGTCTTATTACATGCATTTTAACTCAACTTTGCATTTAAGTACTTAGAATTAGCCAAATTTATGAATAATGTTGAAATCTTGATACTGCAGGTAATTATAGCTTAAATGATGGATTTTGGAACCTTGGAACTAAGTGTGAATGGGTGGTGAAGACATGGACACATTACATGGGGATTTGGAGGCTTAAAAGTAAAAGAAATCAAGGAGGTATCGGTGTTTGGTAACATTGGCACCAGCACCCGCACCATTTGGTGGCAGTACCTTCGTTTTCATCCTTTTTGACCATGNGTTTGGTAACATTGGCACCAGCACCCGCACCATTTGGTGGCAGTACCTTCGTTTTCATCCTTTTTGACCATGATCCACTTTGAATCTGAAAAAGTGCAAAAAATTAAAGTTGTAGATCTGGATGTCCTTTGTATTGTATCAAAATTTCAGCTAAATCGGACAGTTAGATCAAAAGTTATGGTAATTCTACGAAAACTGATCCGGAGCAGACAACTTACCGGAAAGACCTACCGATAGTTTTTACTCCAGTAGCCAAAATCTATCGGTAGAACAATAAAAACCTACCGGTAAGTGTTGCTCAGAATGCCCAGAACGCCTGCAACTCATGCTCCACTTTCTTGGGGGTCCCACCATTGATTCTTCCACTTGTCCCCTGACATCCCTTACATATATACATGCCTTCTACAGTCTAGTTGAAGACTTTGGAGGCAATGACATTAATGAGGATGGGAGAGGAAGGGGCAGCCATGATGGGTGTAGGCTAAGTTCTTCCTAGCCTATCCAATACATCAAATTACCTCCCATTGATGGGAGGTCTGCTCTCACAGGCTAGGGGAGCCTCATGGACGAAAATACATCATTCACACACCATATATTCAGCATTCCACAAGCTCGTGAAGAGAGGAGGCTACCTAAGCTTAGGAATAGTTTTACTGAGAGAAGCTCCAAGAAAGAAGATGAATAGTGCTAGAGAGATAAAATTTATGTTTTTGCATTTTCTTCACCCATTTCATTGCAGTAAGTTGTAGTTCTCTTGTAATCTTTATTTCTTGCATTGTAATCTCTTTTAATTCTAGTGTAATCAAGTTTAATTCAAATGTTCTTGCACTTTTATTTTTCTACTGGGTTTTCCTTTTAAGCTTTATTTATGTTTATGAAATGAATTCTTCTTGTAGTCTACTTCCTTTTAGCATCAATACAAGTTTTAAATTTCATTTCAATACCATGTCTCTTTTCATATTGTATGTCTTTCATTTTAGCATGAGTAGCTAAGTTTTAAGTTGGCTAATCCAAGGGAGACCTCCTCTTGGGTATGTCAAATCAACTCATTTTCTTTCCTCCTCGCAGTGTATATTGATTCGGTTTGACTAAGTTGAGTGTGGACGTGGTTATGAGTCCTTGATACACCATAGGCATTGTCACGGGATATGCTTGGATCCTAACCTCCATGTTTAGTCCCTTGCTTTCGACGAATTAATCGAACATCTAGACACCATTGGAGGATGGTCTTGAGTTGATTTGGTATTCCCATTGGAATGACCTCTTCGGATTAGCCAACAATTGTTTCCCTTTCATTTTTAGCAAAAGCACAAACACCAAACTCAAACTCAAAGATTTTTACACTTTTCATTTTTCACCAAAATCACCTTCACACAATTTCCTTCCTTCCCTGAGGAGACAACCTTGGAATACCCATTCCAAGTAAAGCACGACACTCGAAAATCTTTCTGCGCTTGGGGAACACTTTTGTTCACACACACACACATTTTATTCTACCACACCATTATTCCGTTTTCCCATTTCTTGCATCATGCCAAGGAAGAGTGAACTCCTGTATCTCAATAAGTCATACACACATTGAAGGATGATGTTTGGATACTAGGGACTACAATGGAAACCATCAAGCAGTCACCCCGAGTGATTCCCCGTGGTTTTTTCCTGAGAAGGGTTTTCACATCAATTGTGCTCTTTACTTTCTATCGTATACACTTGTGATTGTTAGCGCACACGTACACTATGTGTTTGTTAGAATGATTGATTGAATATTCACCCATACATAGTTGTGCATTGGGTTTAGATTTTGGGATCGCCATGAATTGATTAAATATTAATTAAAACCAATTGTCATGGTTAAATATGGTTGTGGTGACTAAAGGGGCTCTCATCGTTAATTTCTGCATTCGATTGAGAAGAGATAATTGTGGTAGATATAGATTTTAATTGATAATCAATTTGGGCAATAATTGATAATCAATTTGGGCAATAATTGAAAAACCTATTCACCACCTTAGGTATAGTGTCTTGGTCAACACGTGTATAATTGTGAGAGATGATCCATATTGGGGTTCCTTTTCCAGAACAATAATTGGTATTAAAGCGTGGTTATGCTGAGATCATAAGGCAATAAGTAAACATATCTTTATTTTTGCTTACTTGTCTAGTTTACCTTCGAGAAATCTATCATTACTACTAGTTAGTTTTGAATGGATTCTCGAAAAGAAAGTGGTTTAATTGGACGACCGTCACTCTTTGATGGATCAAAATTTTCTTCTTGGAAAGCTTGTATGAGAGCATTTCAAAACTCTATTGAGGAGAGAGTGTGGTTGATTGTCTAAGAGGGTTGAAGCCCTCCCACCGTCACCACACAAGTTAAAGGTGGTGCGGCAGTGGTTGAAGTAAAATACCCAAAGGTATGGACTAAAAACAAGAATGAGTCCGCTTGGTAGAACTCTAAGATTGAATGCGATATTCAATGCCATGACACCAAATAAGTTTCAAAGAATCATAAATTGCAAAACTTCAAAAGAAACATGGGACATCTAGGTTGTTTCCCACAAAGGGGTTTCCATGGTGAAGAAGTCTAGACTTCAAAGGTACATCTCTTAGTTCGAGACTTTGATGATGCAAGATAATGAAACATTTATAAATTTTACACTAAATTATGTGATATTGTAAATTTATCTTTTGCATTAAGTACCAAGGTTGACGATGTGGCCATCAAGTGAAAAATCTTGAGATCTCTATCTGAGAGATTTTATGCTAAGGTCACATTCTTAGAAAAAAGTGTCAACATGGAGTTGAAGTTAGTGAAAAACCTAGTTGGGTCTACATTGACCTTTGAGATGAACCTTTCATTCGTAAGACAAGATAAGGACATTGCATCAAGCACTACAAATCAAAAAATAGGTAAATCCAACTCACCCTGATTAGGAGAGACGGACCTAGCCTTAATTGCAAGGAAGTTTAACCAATACTTAAAGGCTAGCAATGTTGATTCCTCAAGGTCAAAGGGAAAGCCTATTAGACATATTCACAAGGAAGGAAAAGAGAAAGGGGGAAGAAACTCTCGAAAATAAATTAAGAGAAAGGGGGAGACACTCTCAAAAAGAAGTTGAGAGAAAAAGGCAAGGAGTTCAATGCTTTGAATGTCAAGGGTGCATCAGAATGCCCAAATAGAAATAAGCGAGTTCTGCCTAAAGAAAATAGGAGAGCTATGAAGGCCAAGTGGAATGATAGTGAAATAGAGTCAAACCTAAGTGTTGACTCATCTTCTAGTGACGATGAAGAAAATTTCACGGCCTTTGTAGGTTCATACTCCTCACCCCTAGAGAAACTTCCCCAAGTGAAGTTGAAACATGTCCTACCACAGTGGTAGAAACTTGGAAGAAGAAATCTCCAAATGTGTGGAGGATGAAGATTGCTTTGAGGATATACAAGATATATATGATCAATTGTATATACAATTCCTCAAACAACAAGAGAATGTGTTCTCCTTGAGTGATCATGTAAACTCAAGTGAAGAAGAAACAACAAAACTTCAAATGGACTTAGTGAAGTCCAAGATCCAAATATGTGGCATAAAGGATGAGAATAAGGCTCTCCCTGATCGAGTGAGTTTCCTTGAGAGAGAGTGTCATGAGCTTGTAAAGTCTAAGAAGATTTTTGAGTTAAAATGTGTCAAACTTGATAAAGATCTTCATGAATCAAATGAACTCTCTAAGAGACTTTCCCAATGCAATAAAAAATTTGATAGAATGTTGTCTATGGGAAAGAATGTAAGTGTAGTTTAGGCTACACTAATGAACACACTAACGCTTCTTCCAAGACCGTATTTGTGCAGGGCATCACCAACCCATCACCCCCACAAGTAAGCACAAGCTCTAAAGTGTTTAAAAATGATAAGGGTAGGAATTCAAAGAAGAAAGTTGTTAAAGAAACAACAACCAATCATGATTTGTGCTATACTTGTGGAGAACATGGTCATAATAGTGGACATTGCATGAAAAGCAAGGATGTCTTAAATAAGAAGCTTGAGCATCTTGCAAACCAATGTAAGGCTTTAAACAATTAAGTTGCTAATTTTTCTAAGATTTTAGAGAGATGACATGAGTCCAAGCATATATATGCACCATCATCACATGGACCACATGCTAGAGTGCCCAAAGCCTCTTTAACTCCCAAGGTCAAGGTTGATCTACATACTTCCGGGGAGAAGAGAGCTAGTCCTCTTCCCATTCCCCGACTTAAATAGAGTTTTAGGAAGAAAAAACAAGTTTGTGTGTCTGAGGAGGACCATTAGAAACTCATCATTTCAACCAAGTTAGAGGCCCCGAGTGCTTATAGCAAAGTCATGACTTCTAAGAAGTAGGAGAGGTGAGAGTATGGGCTAAGATGATTTTTCATGTCTTTCATTGAATACACTAGGGTCATATATTGTGACATATATTTTTTTTGTTTATTTTTACCATTTGTTTTTCTATAAGATGGAGGCAAGTGAAATAAGTAAAGCTGCCAAAGACTTAAATAGTCTTTGAAAATTATAACCGCTAGGTCCTCGCTTGCAATATATGTTCATTTATCCAGGTCATTTAATTAACTTAAATAAGTTAGGGTAAATTTGTTTATACCATATCATGCTACATGAGGGAGCTATAATAGAAGGACAAATGTCACAAAAGTAATCACTATGGGGAGATGATAGTTGGAAGACTTAAAGCCATGTCTTGAAGAATGCATTCAATTACAAGATCTTTTTAAACTCAGAGCATGATAGTAAAACACTAGAACGTTACCAAGAGAATGAAAACCATCAAAAGGGGGTTGTAATCTCTGTAAAATCCCTTCTAAGTGTAGTCTCAATTTTTTTTTATCAAGAGAGTATAGTCTCAAATTGAAGGCAACAAGAACATACTATAAAATTACGATTGCTGGGCATGATTAAGTGATGCAAGACCTCCTGGTTCAACCTCACGTCGACAGCCAAGAGGGGAAACAAAGCACAGAATCTCTCTCTGCAACAAGAATCTCTCCAGAATTTAATCAAAAGATGGTCACTGCCTCATTCCTTCTCATTTGGTTTCTATATAATGATGAAGGCTACAATCTAGAAAACAAACTAGGAAAGAAATAACAAACAAATAACAAGATTTAAAAAAAAAAAAATAATAACAACCACCACATATTCCTCATAGTTATCTTCTGCTTATCACCAAGATTTAAGGAACCACTTCCTCATAGTTATCTTCTGCTTATCACCAAGATTTAAGGAACCACTTCTTGATTTGCATCAATTGTCGGCTCCCCTAAAGAACTTGACTCCGGCAAGTTTTGATGAACATAGGCATCAAATAATTTTGGGTGTAAACGCTTGAGTTCCGTGGCCTGCAACCAAACTGAATCGAACTTGAGATGGTTTTTCCATTACACTAAAAATTTGTAATAACCCACTTGATGGGTTGTAACGAATTGATGATCAAGTATGGATGCAATCTCATCTCTAGGAGCTATTTGCTTAGGAACACGAATAATGGGGCCTTGGAATGAGGTTGAATTTGGTGTTGTCGACATCTTTGCTTCATCACCCTTAAACTCAGTGAGGTCTTCTATGTTGAAAACTGGGCTAATACCAAAATCAGGGGACAAGTCAATGACATACGCATTCGGACCCAATTTCTTGGTGACTCTAAAAGGGCCCGCACGTTGTGCATCTAGCTTTGTAAAACTGTCAGGGGAAAAACATTATGGTCTTAATCGAATAAGAACCATATCGTCAACTTTGAACTGCCTATCATTGCGCCTTGTATTTGCAGGGCAACTTTGAACCGCACGTTGTGCATATGCTTCTATATTAAGGGAAAGGCACTGCCTCACTTCTTCATGAACATCCTTCATATATCTAGAAAAATCTAGCGCAGCTTCACTAGGCCTAGTAGGCAAAGGTAACGAATTGAGATTGAGGGGATATGGGGTCGAAATCCGTATGAATTTTTCCTCATGAAGGAAACCGAGCTCTGATACCAAAATGATGCAAGACCTCCTAGTTTAACCTCACGTTGACAGCCAAGAGGAGAAACAAAGCACAAAATCTCTCTCTACAACAAGAATCTCTTCAGAATTTAATCAATAGATGGCCACTGCCTCATTCCTTCTTATTCGGTTTCTATATAATGGTGAAGGCTACAATCTAGGAAAGAAATAACAAACAAATAATAAGATTTAAAAAAAAACAATAATAACAACCACCACATATTCCTCATAGTTATCTTCTGCTTATCACCATGATTTAAGTAACCACTTCCTTATAGTTATCTTTTGCTTATCACCAAGATTTAAGGAACCACCTCTTGATTTGCACCATTAAGGATTAATGTGTATATTAACCTTAAGTTAACTTAAAACAGTGATTTAAGTCTGTTTATCAATATTTTTGTAATCAATATATCGGTGGGTTAATAAAAGTCTCTTAATCATTGTTCATCATCTCTTTTGCGTACTTGTGTCTATTGATTCTTTTACATCCAAAGAAGTCCTGAAATAAGATACTGAACCACGTTTGCATGATCGGATGAGAAACCTTTTTTGAGAGTTTTGATCCATTGAAAGTTAATTTTCATCAACAAATACACAAATCGAAAATATTAAGTACGTTCACTTGGTAACGTTTTAATTTACACACCAACGATGAATGAAAGCTACATATATTTGTGTGGGAACAACAGCTAACTAATGACTTTTTTATTTAATCTTCATAACCATGCTGAAGTCGTTACCATGGTTATAGACTAGTCGACAAGCTTTAATTTAGTTCTACAAACAATAGCTACTCTTGCTAAACTAAGAGTTTCCGTCTGTCCAAAAATTTGGGCTCCCTAAGTCTCTAGACATGAGTCCCTTGAGGCTTAAATTCTTTCAGATTGTAGAGGTGCTCCTTGTATTGCCTCGATTGATCTTCTTGGTGTTTATTCTTTAGAAGGTGTTTGTTCTGTAGTGTAGATCCTAAATCTAACAATCAGAAAGATATAGCTCAAGGAAAATCCATTATTTTGGTGATGTTCAAGTTGACACAAAAATTGACTTTATTATTGGTAGATTATTGCTGATGGCCCGGCTAACTTTGTGTGCTTATACATTCAATAATGGGACAAGTCTATAGTACCCAAAAAAAAAAAATTGGTACTTTATCGCCATTACAAATTTTATGAATTATATTATAATTTTTAAAAATTATTTATAACTTTTAATGTTATTTGTGATTGATCTTAAAAGCATTAAGATCGATCACAAAAGTATAATAAAAATGATAACTTGACACATTAGTGAGGAGGAGAATAGTCGTCTCCCACTAATGTGTGGTCGAGGCGAAAAGGATCATTTAATTAGTTCACCAGTCGTCCTTGACTGCTGGAGGAGTAAGAAAACAAAAGCCTGCCATACCAAGCAAAAAACAAAACAAAAGCCTGGCCATCAAATGATGACCCCTGAAAGTGAACGGGTCTCTTTCACTTTCAAGGAGTTCCGTTCACAAAATAAAAAGAAAGAAAGCAAAAGAGTCATGCATGTGCTCATTGCTGACATAATGTGATGTTTATGTATGAATTTGATTTACTCTTCATAGCTGTACACAAAATTGAACAAAATTATCATGTTTAAGTTTAATTTTAACATATTAAAGTAATAAATTGACAAACTTATTAGATTGGTCAGTCAAATAAATGAATAGATATAGAAATTTGCTAAACATTGCACGAAAATACTAAACAAAACTTGTAAATTTGACTATACATGTAATAAATTGATGGGTCAAGTCCAAGAGTTTAACTCATGTTATATGTCCGGTCTGAGTTTTAAGACCCAACTCCAAGAAGTCCACCAAGTCCAGCCCAATGTGATCGATCTGGTCAAACTCATCAAGCTCAAGGAGCTATGTCAACAAGGAGCATGCAAGATCATCTGAGAGTCTCCTCTATCACCTTGGAATAGAGCATGCAAGGTCATCTGGGAGTCTCCTCTACCACCTTGGAGTAGGGGTCATCCAAGAGCCTCTTCTACGCCACCAAGGGAGTGTCCAGGGGCCTCACCCTCGCCGCTTGGAGAGAATCAATCTTCTCACATCCTTTGACCAAGTCTTTTGGAGAACATCATAAACTTGCTTGCCGTTGAGGAGAGCAGAGGTCACCAAGCTATTTAATCACTATTAAAGTCACCACAATCCGTTATGACTATTAAACGGCTCTAACTCGTTATGATCGTCAGACTAGCTATTCAATTACTACATTAAACCACTATAAATTATAAGCTTCACCAACACTTGGGGGACAACTCACTCATTTTTAGCACAATTCTCTCCTCTCTGAAAGCTTGTAATATCCTGCTCTCCCATTACAACGGAGTTAATAAAATCCTAACGACCCTTGTCATTCCAAGTGAACGTAGGTCACCTTGACCGAACCACTATAAACTTGGTCTTTTCCCTCTCTACCTTACTAAATTTTATATTACTTAATTGACAGGTGGTGTGCAAACTAATTTTGTGCATCATCAGTTTGGCGCCGTCTGTGGGAACCGACGAAATTCTCACGTAAACACTTTCTTTGCTGAATCAAAGATGATC